TACTTTGATCTTTCAAGCTAAGGTTTGTTTTTTATGATTTTTCAAACTGGAATTATTAAATAACCTATATTTTTAATTCTTAATTTTAGGAAATCAAACATGTTTCTTTTTTATTCAGGTTTAAACATTTTTCAATATATTTACAATATTTCAATGAAATGGCTGATATCTTAAAGATATATTAATAACTATTAGTCATGTTTAATTAAATTCAAGGTCATTAAACAGTTTACAGAAATAGAAATGAAATATCAAAAATGTTTAAATTACTAATGATTCTTCATTAATATCCTAAACTAAGTTCTTAAGAATTTGAAATAATTTTCAAGGTATAAATTCTATATACTAAAATAATATAAACAAATTTTTGTCAATATTAAGTTTGGTTTTCAATAAATATATATGCCACACTTCTTTCCAGCAATCAAATATTGAAGTAAGATAACCCAAAAAAATTATATTCATTTCTTATACATTTACCTTCTCTATTCCAGAGAGAAGAAGAAGAGGAATGGAAAGAAACACACCTGCTCTTCTGTAATTTGCATATACAAGAGGATGTAGTACATTAAATCAGCTAAGCCCTTCTTCACCATCCCTCGAAAACGAGGTGCTTCAACCAGACCACTAACAAATTCAAAAATGCTGAACACAAGATTCTCAAATCCTAGCACTTCACCTATAGTAAGAATAGTTGTACTTGTCAGTGATCATGAACAGAATTCAACTAATAATTTCACAATATTAGCTAAACGTATATATATATATTAATTTCCTCATATCTTAAGATCTTATGCTGATCAGGTTTTTGAAGAATGTGCTATTTTTGTTTTAATAGTACAGTTCAAACTTTACAATATATGGAACTTACATGACCTTAACACAACACAGCCTGCATGGAGTGCTTTAATACTTCTCATGCCTCTCAAGGCACTCTTTTCTAATCCCATAACTAACTACCTGGATAAAGTTTGTTCTATAACTTGGCAAATGCATAAATAAATTCATAATTGAGACAAATAAAATTTTAACTATTGAACTTTTAGGATGCTATACTGCTGCAGATTAAACTACACACACTTCTAATAAAGCTACCTCTATTTCAAAAGAATCCAGAGATATGTGCTAATTATATGGTTTGTAAAAATGTATACGTTCTTTTTCTAAATATTTGATTGTAAGCTAAAGGATATTCATTGGTGAAGAAACTGATTGAAGATGCATTTTTTCCAGTAAATTATCCTCTTATAGACTATTAATTTAATGAATAAAACACATTTCATGAATGTTCTACAGAATTTAAAAGTATATGATCATCAGTGAATGTTCCAAAAAACTTCAAATAATGCAAGTTCAGAACAATAGAACATACTTATCAAAAGTTCACTGGTTTTATGAAAGTAGCACTACCACCAATTCAAAAAAACCTAATAAACTGAAGCAATACTTGTGCTATTTTATACTGATTCAACTTTCATTTTGTGCAAAAGCAAACACATTCACGGATGAAAGAACATAAGACAGCCTCATTGCTTTAGTTAGTTGGTTAAATCATGTATATATAGTACTATATAGAAAAAGATATAAACAAAAAACATCACACTGACTAGAAAGTTACGTAGATACATTAAGGTTTAGAAGTGTGCAAGATTGCTATAAACCATTCATGATATCTAAGCAATAAAAAGAAGTAAATGACACTGAATATGAAACAGAAATGTATTAAAGACATAATCTATTAATTGAAATCAAAAGTATATTCACCATCATGGATAGTAACCTATACAATCACCTACATTTAATTACTTAGTAACTTTTTATAATTAGATACTAATTACTAACTTGTTTTCTGTTCGACATTTAAGCTGTAATTTGCTTCTGTTTTCAGGAAAGTCCTTAAAAGAACTATTTCTGTGCTGATAGTGGCCAGAATTCAATCCTAGGTCTTGAAGGAAATCTGGTGTGTTATTCCTCCCATTATAACTTGAATCAACTAACTATATGAATGTTTAAAATAGAAGTATCCAGCTTCTGCTGACTTCTATATCAAGTTGACTAAGTGTGTTATCAATTAGGTGGATGGAGAAGGCTTCTTTTACCTTTCACTTTTCTCATGTGGTATTCATATCTTATTATTTCAGTATTATTCCATTTTATTCATGGTCTTCTTCTATGGCATGATGGGCTATTGCAGGTAGATCATTATTACCAAGTCTTATTTATTATGCTTTTCAATTCTAACTTTTGTTAGTATTTTTCTTTCTTCAATGTATTTTAATCCACATTCATAAGAGATGTAATTAGTGTTTTTCTTTTCCACTGGGTCTTCAGGTAGTCTGGTGTGTACTAATTGTAATCATATTGTGTTGTTGCTTCTCAATATTGTTCTAGCTGTTTGTGTTAATATTACAGTTCAAACTTTACAATATATGGAACTTACATGACCTTAACACAACACAGCCTGCTTGGAGTGCTTTTAATACTTCTCATGCCTCTCAAGGCACTATTTTCTAATCCCATAACTAACTACCTGGATAAATTTTGTTCTATAACTTGGTAAATGCATAAATAAATTCATAATCATATTGTGTTGTTGCTTCTCGATATTGTTCTAGCTTTATGTGGTTTTACTTATACATGTTTTCAAAAAGACCTCTGACATAGGGGAAATTAGCTTATATCTAATTGTCATCCTGTTAATTCTCAGTTTTATCTTATTTATTTTATTCTCTATCTCTTCAAATAGTTAGTAGATTCAAGTTCTAATGGGGAAAACCAAGTCAAGTAGATCAGTGCTTCTCAACCAGGGTTCCACGAAACCCTCAGATTCCTTGACAGACATCCAGGAATTCTGTGGAATGTAAGAGTTTCACATATTCTAATGCATAAATACACACTAGTCACATAATTACAATCCAGCTACATCATTTTTTTTTTTATTAGTATAGGTTTCATAATGCCACAATATAACAAGTCACTGCACTGTTTTAAATTAGTAAGGGAGTCTAGGTACAGACAGGAGCTTGAGTCATGTAAACTTTTATTATTTGAGAAAGCACACTTTTCGATATGTGTGAGCGTGTGCCCGAGTAATTGGCTTGAGAAATCTTTCATGCTTTGCATGTATATGTGTGGGTATATAGCTGCATTAAACATACATACTTTGTTTGGAATTACTGATATAATATTGCAGTAATGTTTTTTGTAATGAATGCTGTGAAGAATTCCATGACATAAATTTCATGCCAGAAGAGTTCCATAGATTCAAAAAGGTTGAGAACCACTGAAGTAGATAATGCACCAGACTTCCATCTAGAAGACCCAGAATCAAATTCCAGCCATAACCAAGATGAAAATAGTCCTTTTCTGGCTTTCCCTGAAGATGGCAGCAGATTATCAGCAAAGACATAAGACAAAAAATATAGTTAGTAATTAGAATTTAGTTATATATATATATAAATGTTACTAATTAATACTTAGGCTTAGGTGAATGTATAATACTAAGCATGATAATGATAGACATCGGATCACCACAACCTTACTCTATTTAGAAATATATTAATTATTATAAATATATTAATTATTTTGTGTTGACATTGTTGTTTCCACTCTATAAAAAAAAAGATAAAAATTAACCTAAAACATGCAAGAGCAAAGTATAAATTCAAATTACTTTAACATATTACTGATTCAAATAATCTACTTTCTCGACTTACTTCAATTATGTTTAACTTTTACACACAACTTCCATTTAATCAACTGTAATGTTCTGTTCTTTAATTGCACATCTCTTAATTTATGCTAGTTTTTGTTTCATGAGCATTTCATAATAACTTAATCTATACCACAGGTTTTAGGCTACAGAATTTTACCATCACACAGCTAAAGTAAAAGGCTTGTTTCAGTTTTTTCTAGGCACATTGACCTACACATATAGAGGCCACAGAGTTGACATAGAAAAAAATAAGTGTTCCACACTACACATTCAAGTGACCTATAATCTCCAAGGCCACGCAGTAATCAGATGTGAAAAGATTTTGTTTATTTGTTTGTTAAGCACAAAGCTACACAATGAGCTACCCATTCTGTGCCCACCACGAGTATTGAAACCCAGTTTTTAGCATTATAAGTCTTCAGACTTACCACTAAGGGACAGATGCACTCAGTTGTTAAGAGATTAAAATGGAACTAAAAAGAAACAAATATTACAAGTCCTTGTTCCAAGTGTGTGAAACAAAAAAGTCAGACCCAAGAAACCAACAGCTTTCTATTGCTCAAAAAAGAATGTATGAAAGTAATTTATTACGGAGCATGACAAGACATTTTAAACTTCTATATATCAACTGACAGAAACTGGTTCTGTGATGTAATTTACAAAGTCCATAATTGCAGTATTATAAATGAACTTTCATAACAAGCATATATTATCTGTGTGGAAACAAGTCATTACTAAAATACCCAACAAACATCACATTAGTTTTTCAACAGATTCGCACAGATCTCAAAAGTATTTTTAACAACAAAAAACAGCAATCAACATATCCATAGCCTTTTCATCCCCACACACTACTGTGATACATTTTGGAGCTATTTTTCACTTTGTACCTAAAATGACTTAAATAGTATTTTCATCATTACTGAAAGCACATCTTTGTTTAATACACAAATCTGAAAATTTAAGATTTATACTTGAAATTGGAGCATAACTGAAAACTCCTCTATCAAGATTACTTCTAAAAAATGAGAAGAATTATAGTAACAAAATATAATATCCATACTGCACATTAGATATTTTATCCAGAAAGAATATGTCACCATTCTCATCTGCTTGAACCACTGAAACTGGAATTCAACACTGGCTCTTATTTGCTGTCTAGATACGAGATGGATTTAATATAACTAAATTTAGGCCAACAATAAAACAAAGTTTGTTTGCTTTCACTCACTGACAAAAAAAACTTTTACTTCATTTTTAAACAAAAATATATTTCAAAGAAACAACAGCAACAAAGAAAAGGAATAAATTCCTATTTCTGTTTTTAACAATAGATGATACCGTTTATCTGTGACACTGAATAAACTGATAAATCAACCCAATTCGCTGACAATTAAACATTTACACAATGAAGACTACAAAAACATGCACCATGATGGTTCAGCATCTAAAAACTTTCACCATTTGTTGTACAGTGAATATAAAACAGACTCAAAAAAAAAAAGACAGGGCACTGAAATGAAAATTGACTTTATGAATATAGTGATGATTATAAAACATTCAGTGTTTTTACTGATCTGTGAATAACCACTGACTAAGAACACAAAAAGACCAATGAACTAGTGATTGCTGTTTCAGACAAACTCAGAGATGGAGTAGAAATGTATGGTAGTACCTTGACATTAAGTGCACCCTTCCAACTGCATCCAAATGCCATATATAACAAGGTGCCCTTAATATCAAAAATGAACCATGCAAAGCTGGATTCCATATTGACCATACTAAATTTATGAATTTTAAGGCCCTCCATTTTGTTTGGTGTATGCAGGACACAGATGTTCACGAGTTGCACATTTCCATGACATGGAACATTGTCAACAGGAGGTCTCAGGGGTGCATTACCTGTTCCATTTTTTCTTTATTATTGGTCACAAAATTTCAAAGTACTTCTCTTCAGAGTTTGAACTGCTAAATATTTCACACTTATTTTCTGTGTTTATTTTACTGTCAATAACTGAAGTGGAAATCCGCTCAAAATAAAACAAGAAATCACTGCTTTGTCTGTTTACATGAGACTGCAATATGATACTCGCAAGAGCAACAAAGTACACGCACAGAAATAAGCAGACTTAACCCCTGCTTCAAAAAACACAATGTGGAATTTATCAGCTTATGTATCCTACAGTGTTTACAATGAGAATTCCCCAGAGTAATAAGACTGCACTTTGAATCTGTGAAAAAAATTTATTACAGTAGATGGTTCAGAGCTGATCCAATAAACATTGCAAGTGTTTAAATTTGGTCATCCTTCTGGGATGTTTGGAATTTAGCGATATACCATACAGGCATACAAAGATAACTGCCCACTTTATTAAGTGCCCATATAGAGAAAAAAAATAAAGACACTGCCCTTAATCTGGAATATCGTGGTGCCTGTTACTACAAGATTTATTTTAGTTACAACTAGTAGAAAAAAGATAGAGACTGAAAAGGTCTGCCCTTAATGGTGTAGTGCCCATTAATCAAGGTTTTACTGTATTAGGTATTCAAACCTGACATAAAAGAGGAGATAACTGGTTAAGCAACTTGATAAATGACTGAAATATATCCAGTTCTACATTTTAAGATCTAATTTTACAACTTAAATTGCCAAAATGCTGAATGCCTTTAGTGTTCTTATAGTGGCTCAAAGGAAAGTTCAAAGGAGCCAAAACCAGAGCTCAAGGAAGATTTATTGGTAGGTACAAGAACTGTATGTACATTAATATCAAATATTTAATTATGTAAAAACCACAGTTCATTAGAATAAGTGAAATATGCACCCAATCCTCTCATCCTAAATAAAATATGTCCATGTTTAAACATAATAAAATGCATTTAAACTTTAAAATTATTATTTAACATTAAATGTATAAATTAACACAATATTATTTAATACAATGCCAATATGAGTTTCATATAGGTACAAGATACAAACATATGTTACAAAAATTTCACATTTTAACCCACCCCAATGCTTTTTAGAGCTTGAGGGGATATAGAAAAACACTCTCTCCACTGTCAGTCTGAGCCTTGTTAATAGTCTCAAGCACAGGATATCAGTTGTGAAACTGTCTCACATTTGAGGAACTTTTTATGTATTGGACAATATTTTTACCCAAATTTTATGAACTATTAAAACATTAAATTATTACATACATGCAAATTTGACTATAAAATAAAATATTTCCAATACCAACCAGACCTCAACTTTTAACTTTGGCTAGGTCCAGGAAAAAAAAATAATGATGGTTTTTATTTTGCATTTAAAGTAAGTATTACATAAAAAAAAAATTCATATTCAAAAATTGGCTTCCACATTCTGAAGAAGATTTTCAATACTCGTATATGTTCCACAAAAACATGGTTGTGTTGTCTAATAAATAATATGTAATGTAAAACAATACTGAAAATCAAACACTAAAAATTTAGTGAGTAAATTCAGATAATATTCCATTTTAGAAAATCAAATGAAGTACAACATACAATAAAAAATATGACCTTAGTTTCCAAAGGAGCTGATATTACCATTAAAAGGAGGTAATGTAATTTTTTTTATCATGTCACAGCACTAACATTTACAGATCTGCCATCAATATATTCCTCATAAAGCATACTGTGATAAACAATTAACAAAAAAGCAGACAAGCAACACAAATGAAGAAATAAAAAAATACAATAAAACAAACAAAATAGCATTTTTCAAAGTATTCTGAAGGACAAACTGTAAAAAATAAGAGTCATTAACAAAATCACACTTCACAAGATAAAAAGTGAGTGAAGTTTATCAAGCAAACTGGTAACCATAAAAGAACAACAACAATGAAAGAAAGGATGAGAGAAGTCATGAGCAAACACTGGCACCATGTTTCAAAAAAAAAGTTTTAACTACAAAAAGAGATTATGAAAAATATGGGAATGCATTGGTCTTTCTTTCAGACTGCTGGAAACTGGAGGACCTTGAGACATGGTGCTATATATGGTTGTGCATAGAACTTCCTACAGGTAGTACATAACAATTCAGTTCTTTAACTTCTTGTATTTGTATTTCATACTTATGGCAAAGCTACTAAGACTATCTAATTTTGAACTACTGACCACTCAGTATCACCCTATCACCCACACTAAGGGACTGAATGTTACTCTTTTACTGCACCCACAGCTTAAGGTGAAGAGAATATTTCGTGGTCTCATATGGATTCAAACTTGACTCACCAGCTCTACCAAATGGCCAATACATGCCCCCTTTTAACATCTTAGGATGCAGTCATATTCTATTTAATAAGTCAAGGTCAGAAAGAGATACTTAGTGCATATCTTAAGGTGAGAAGACAACAAACTAGAAAATGTACTAAAAATACATAATATTCCAGAGAAGAAATCTTATTGAAGACACAAAGATAAGGATTAGTTAATGATTATAATTTTGACAACTGCCTACATTTTGTTCTACAATTTTCATGCAAATCTACATAAAATCCTATTTTTGCACACCTATCCTTTATTTTGAACTGATAGACTAGAGGGAAAGCAAGTCAACATCACCCACCAACAACTCATGGTCTATTATCTGACCGAATAGTTGAATTTGACTATCACTCTTATAGCACCTCACAGCCCTAAAGTGTGAAGTGCATATTTTAATTTTTTTTTATCCCTTTGGAGCAATGAGACATGAACTATGAATCCACAGATTCACAATCCAGGCACATTAACTACAAGATCATGCCCAGCCTAGGACACTACAAAGAAAACCAAAGACATGAATATGAAGCAGCGATTTGTCCAAACTTTAACCTATCATTAGACATCATGATTATTGCATTAACCTGACTTATGGAAATGGATCGTACTCAATTTTATACATTTTACTTATTTAACTCACTTCAAAGGTTTTGGTACCCTCAATGATAATCACCTTCTTCTAAGTTCTAATCTGACTCAGCTCAATAACCTCCTTACCACCCACAAAAAATATTAAAACAAAAATAGTACCACAATAAACACAAAATGCATCAAAAAATAGATTTCTACCAAATGTATTTAAAAATTATGTTAACTCATTTCCATATAAAAAAAGATTATTATTTACATTATCAATTCAGTTGTTCAGGCATTATATTTCATATAATATATTTTCCTACTGAAGAAAGGAAAAAGAAAGATAATAAAATCTAAGAATGGCACATTTTTGCCATTGTCAAAAAAAATTGATATAACAATTAGAAGAAATATTGTTAAAATTAAATTTTTAATGATTCCCAAAATGCAATAACACAGAAAGAGAGAATAAAACTCAAATTGTTACTAAAAAGTATTCATATACTATTAGTACAGAAAAACTTTCAATATATTTTGCCCTGAAATAAATAATACAACTTACCATCAGAGTCAACTGGATTGTTCCCTTCTTCTGTATCATTTACAACAGTTTTTATATATCTCACAAAAGTTAAAGATCATCAAATATCTGAAGTTACAAAACACTACAGGTATTTTATAAATGAAACAGTTCTTTTATTTTATAATGATTGCTAGTTTGGGAGTAAATGTAAAATGAAAACATTGTTGGTTTCACTAGCTAACCAATTTTTCTTACAAAAAATAAAATAAAAACTAAGACAAAATGCATTAAAGACAACAACAACAAAAAAGTGTGTTAAATCAGGTTTTACACATTACAATAAACTTGAAAAATAACATGTTCAATAACAATACAATACAATAACAGACAGCAGTGACAGACATATAAAAATGGATGATAATAAGGGTCTAAAATGACCTACCACATAAAAAAACAACAAAAAACACAAAAATCTGGTTTTTCACATTACAATAAACTTGAAAAATGAACATGTTATCTTTCTATAACCAGTAGCAAACTTCATGTATTACACACCACAATGATAAGCATTAAGCTTTATAGCTATGATTTAACGAAGCAGCTGTAGGGAAAATAATATGACCTGACTGGTGATGGTCCTCTGTAGCAAACAGATTTGAGACTTGTAAAGAATGTTGTGCATATAAAGACATTAGTTTGTGAGAAGTTTCAAATCCATACAGCCACACAGAGGACTTGGTTTTCCAAAACATCAAAACTGTAAAATGAAGGTGAAAATGGCAAGGCACAATGAATGATACAAAACAAAATGTAACTACAATGGGGGAGGTACACTGCATCTCCCATAAAAGACCCAGTAATGAAGTATAACCACTAGTGTTGTACGGAGCATCATTTGCAACAGAAAAGGTTTCCCAACCTTATATATAACATATATTAATACACTTGCTAAACAGTTTATGCTGTGAGAAGGGACAGGAATAAAATATGAAGGTGATAAGAGTTTTTTGTATAATAAACCCATTTTAAAATCTGTATCAAAATATTGTTTTCATGCACTGCACACACACACATAAACAAATAAAAAAATATTCTAATAACACTTCTATTTTATTTCATGCAAGTCATTTTTTTTGTTTTATTTTACTTGTTCTAAACAAACAAACAAAAAAACTATTCTGGTCTATATTAACGAGATATCTATACTAGACACGTCAATTTTTAGCCTGCCAACCCTGAGTGAGTGTATTTAATATAGACTATAGCTCACAGCAGATTAATTTTAAATTTAAATTAAAAATCTTAATTTTAAGAATAAAAATACTTTTATGCATCAGAAAATTGTCAAATTCACACGCCAAATCTCTAAACCTCCTAATAACCTCGAGACAATTATCATCATTTTTTTCGAAAAAAATCTAAATATTTAATATGTTATTTTCACTATTGTATCTCTGTATGCGTTTGGCCGATTTGATTGACCTCGTAACCAAAATAAAAAATTAGGAAATTGATACAAGTTACACTTTTATTGTTCTAGAAATACTACAAATTATAACACAAAATCACAAATGTTTATTCTAAATAGCTTAAATTTCATAACATTATACATCTATATATATTTTTATTTTTATTTTATTGACCTTTCAGCTGTGTGTTTGTGTGTGTGGGCACGTGCAGCTTTACATTACCTTATCCAGTAGAATAAAACTGGCCTTTACAGACTGCAGTTGTCTTAGCTTTGTTCAGTGGACCAGTATTTTGTAGAGTACAATCACATTTCACATTTTGTTTGTAATACATTACATATACGTGTGTGTGTGTGTGTGTGTGTGTGTGTAGTATATATATATATATATATATTATTACTATTTACAAAAGATTTTTAAGTTTCAGTTATTTTTCTTAAACCATTGAACAGTAAATAAAGATATTTAGATAATAATGATATCTTCTACTTACAAAATTTGTACTCGCTTGCTGTAATTTGTTAAGACTTGTCTAATTTTACACATGGAGTATGTAAAACAAAATATTTTTTTAGGTTTTATACATACATTTTAAATTTTAAAAAAAATCATAAATTACTGTATCAATACCACAGAAATGTACTGTAATTTATCAGGCTTACTAACTAAGCTGTATTTGGGTCTAAAAAATATTGTTTTTTGAGCACAATTTTCTGACCTCTTCTCTGCGAGCCTACAAAGAAAAAGACAGATTTTCCCAAGAAAACACTTTGCAAAGGTGGAGAAAATTACATGGGGGAAATTCTGAGCTTTCAATTGGTTATAAACACATCATAGAGCAAAGTAGGTGTATGTAAACAAGTACTTCTAAAGAATGGATGAAGTGGGTGGAGTTACACACTATTACACACTTAAAAAAAACACAATCTTATTGACATTGTATAAAATATTAAGAATACTGGATCTCAAACTTTTCCCCCTAAAACAAAGTTGTTATTTTCAATTATTATAACAATTCAGAAGAGAGAAGCAGTAAAACTCGAAAGACTATTAAAAGTTTTGGTAAGGATACATGCTGGCACTTTCTGTCAGACAATTCCACACCGGTGTAAGAATGTGAGGTAACCATGAAGACATCTGTTTTGGTGTGTGTTTTACCAGAACAGTCAAGGCCTAGAATGTTTTTTAAAGAAGCTCAATATTAAAATGCTTGAACAATTAGAATTTAAATAAAGAATGAAATAAAATTAATGCAACTAAAAAAAAACTAGTTTATAAAACTTAATTTATAAAGAGCATTTTACCATAATAGACATAGCATGTACATCAGTATCTATGTATGAAATCAACACTCCAGCACCATCTATTGAATGGCACCACAAACAAAAATCGATAAAAAAATTCACACTTTGGGTATTCAAGATTTAGATAATTAAAAAAATAACTGTATAAATAAATGCAACAACCATTTCTTTATAATAGAACACAATTTTCAATAAACATACTCTCCTCAGAAGAACACAATTTTCACTAGGACTGTACGTGAGGGTTTAATTATATCTTTATCAATGTAATTTTTAAATGTAATACTAAGAAACTGAACTTCTTCAAAAACTATAATTATTTCAATAACTGGTACCACTTTTAAAATACAAAAACATTACAGTTTATACAAGTAAAATGTATGAAAACTCTGAGCTCTGTACATTGAACCATTTTGATGCAATGAGTTGCGTATGAATAATGAGCACAATCTGAACATTTTTCCTGTGTAGTACTTCCAAGACAAAAAATCCTTTTTTTTTAGAACATTTTCACTTTTTCTAAATTTTTTTTCAATGAGGTGTCAATACTATGATTAGTAATTACTAGCACAACCAGGCACCCATAGGGCAGCATTCCTGCTAGTATTGATAAAGAAAAATAATTAATGTTTCATAATTCACATGTAAGTTACAGCATGAAGCAATAAAAAAAAAACACCAAATAACTGAACAAAGAAAACCTTAAAATTAGCTGTAACAAGAACTTAACAACACTGAAAAAAACACTTATTATAGGGATTTTATTTACAGTCAGCTTTAATGTATAACTAATATGGATTACCTGCCAAACCACCAAAGATTAATAACCATACAAGCTATACTAAATTTAAAATTTACTGTGTGAAATAAAAACACAAAACTGCCAATCAATCCCTTCGAACTTCAGTGGAGCACTTCAAGCTCCTTGATGTTAGATTTTTAAGCTACTAATCACAGCCATAAATGCAAGACTGTGATAACTGTTACATAAAACAATGACTCCCACTACACATTAATTGTTTCAACTGGATATATCTGGGTTAAATGAACCCCCTAAAATTTTCTGGATACATATGTGCTCCCCCTAACCACGAAGAGGTTGAGGGGGTAGCATCATAGTGTGGACATTTTTAACTGGGTTTGATCATGGTTCATCATTAACAAGATAACAGTGTTAGGCAAGACTTATAGTATTGTCAAGTTTTAGATAAATGGTGAACTGTCTGAATTGGCGAAATTCTATGGAAGAACTTTTTTTTCAGCATGAAAATGCATCATATCATGCTGCACCTTGTGTCGTGTTAACTTGAGATAAATTATGTCCATAACCTGCCTTTATGAACAGAGAGCTCTTACATGAATCACACTGAATGGCTTCCGGGTGTTCTTGAATACTACCTGATGAAATGATTTATATTAAAGTCTCAATATAATACACTTGAACCTGCTTTGTATAAATGATATAGATGCATCAACAATTGGTGGCAAGCATTAATAACTTAGTCCAGGCTGTTGGTGAAACTAAAGATGGGCTCATTTCCTCCCAGGAGCAAAATGTGACACCCTTTCTCAAGATGTGCACATTTTTTTTTAATACTGCATTTCTATTGAATATGTTCAATACTTGGTATAGAAATACATTAATCTCCTCCTCCTTGATAATAAATAATCCAACACTTACATTAAGAACCTCTTTCTTCAGACCGCTATCTGATGTCATACCATCTGTAACCTGGAGAGCTTGAACAAGTGCTTCAGTAAACTGAGGAAGTACTGGATATAATAATGACTTGGCCACACCCTATTAAAATAAAAAGTTTAGGTTCATCAACAAAGGCTTTATAAGCATATAAAACATCAAATAAGATCTTGTATACCATTTAACATACAAAATGAAGAATATTTTAATAAAAGTATTTTAAACACAAGTTTACAAAACTCCTGATTTTTTTCTTTATATCTTACTGTAGCATGAATTCACAACATATAAGTGATTTCTGATTAACAGCATCTTTTTTCTTACTGATTTGGAGTTTGACATTTAAAAGGTTTCAAGGGGTGGTCTGGTGAAATCACACTTCAAGTTTTAATATAGTGATTTTGAAAAATACCTCCAAGGTAATTAGAAAAAAAAAAGAACTTTTATTGTTTTTCGTGCATAAGAAAATAGCAAATATAAATATGTTAATAAATATAAAATAGTTAAATTTGGTTTTGGTCACTAATAAAAAAAACTGGTTTAGCTTTTTTAATTCCATTTATAAAATTAACACATATTTCACAATAAATCATTTTGTAAAAATAACTTCAGATCTGTTAACTTCAGTTGAACAAGAAAAATTATGAAGGAGACAAGAACTTTCTGAATTTCACTTGCTCCAGATTCCAAAATATTTTCTTAAGCTTGGAGTTAATCATACATTTTCAGCAATTTCTATCTCAGATCTAAAATGCAGTGCAGCAGCACTGCCACAGAAACAGCAAGAAATCATAGGGACCAGGTAGGCTCTCTGTTGGAAAGTCCTAGCGACTTCAGGCCCTAGAATCTGTGCTATTTCAACCATTGTGAATTAGCTCAAAAATCAATTTTATATTTTAAGACTAGCTCGTTTCATAATTAGTATTACTAATACAAGTTTATCAGTATATCAGTCATATTGTTCTATGGCATAAACAAAAATTATTCACCTTCTAGTTTTAGTCATTTACAGATTACAATTACAAAAAATGTGTGTCAGTTAACTAACAATCTGATACAATTAACACCTCAAGATTTTGTAATTTTCATATTAATGAGGCATACATATTGAATTTGCCACAATTCCCAACTATATTTTGTATTTCCCATTTCTATTATCACATAATTTTAATCTAAAACTGTAATGAACACTAGTATCTAGGGGCATATACATATATATAACATTACAAGACAGAAGATCCAACCCTTTGACCCTGATACCTTGGTGAAAACAAGTTTGGCTTTAATACAGTTTTTCCTTATTAGAGAATAGACTCAATACAATAATATGCACAACTCAATTCATGATGGAATTAGATATTTGTTTTATTTTTATTAAACAATTTTTATCATGAAACATTTTGAACACAAGCATTTCTAAATAAACACAGCTGTGAAGGAAAACAAAGTTAATTTTTGTTGCAGCATGCTTAAAATTCTTCTGCTCACAACTATGGTTATTCTAACACCAAAATTAAAAGATTATTCAATGCTCCAAGAGTGATAAAAATAATATTGTAGACTTTAGATTTTACCAGAATTCAAAAGAATCATCAGACACAAACAAATTCTTACTCTATTTATTATTATCTCTGACTTAGCAATAATTTTAAAAACTTGTTCATATTCTTAATGAGTTGATAATTTCATATACACAATAATTGTTGTTTAGACTATTATGACTAAAATATGGAAAAACATAAGTTCAAATGTAAAGTTGTAGACAAGCAACATATTATAAAGTTTACTTCACAAGCAGCATATTATGAAGTTTACTTCATTCAAAGGGCAATTTCATATTAACTCTCTCACTACAGGCATCATTTTCTGCACGTCCGAGTTGCATTCAAAATTTAAACAACTTTCTTATCATGGTACGTGAAAAAAACTTGGGCATAAAAACATGTCTAATAATCCAAATTTTAACATTATATAAGTTTTAAATTCTTAAATTTATAAGGCAATATTTTAAAAAATAAAAATCCTGAATTTTCCCTAGTATGAGAGTTGTGAGACTTGCTCTTTAGGCATTCCCTCTTATGTAATCTATTTAACACCCCTCCAAGAAATACAAAAATTAACATAATTACTCATTATAATGTCTTTGCTCAGGCAAAGCATAATTTTTATAGCCTTCAATCTTATTTGGGTATAGAGCCATGAAATAGACAATCAGACCCCTCTTGCCACACCCACCTGTCACATACTCTCTTTCAGAAATTGCCAATAAGCTCTTTGATGTTTAATACTGTATTATTTGTAACCAGTGAATAGCCAATGTTTTAATATATAAAATGATGTATTATATTACATTGTTTTCTGTACATAGAATTGTCTATTTCATTTCCAGTTCAAACTTTATTCACACAGAAAACCCATCAAAGAGCTTAGCTAAATTTTTAACGGCTCATCACACAGCAGAAAAATTAAGATAGTTATATAACATTGTCTGCTTTTTATGTGTTACCATTCTATATTCTTTGGTGCATTACTTAATTAAATAAAAAGTATAGTTTAAGTTTCATTGAGAGAAGACAGCAAAAAAAGATCCTTTTACATTACAAACGAACTACTCACAAAAGTATCTTGTGAAAATTATTATATTATTATTATTTATTTCACCTAATCTAACCCTAATTGATTAGATTATTTTATAATAATAAATAAAGAATACACGTGAAAAACAAGAAAAAAAAGACTTACCCCTCAGTCTTTTTTAGCTGTTGATGGCACATAATCCTAATTTTTTTATACTAATGGTAGTATGGCAATGAATAAAATTTTATTCAACTAAATAATGCACCAAAGAACACATAATAATAACGTTCAAAAAGCAATGTCCCAAAACTATCACAATTTTTCTGGCTTTCTAATTATGCAACAAAAGCTGTTAAAACTTCATCTAAGCTCATCAATGTGTTTCCTGTGGGAATCAAGCTTGAAATGAAAGCAAAATTGACAATTCTCTGAACAGAAAACAACGTAATATAATACTCATTTGATAGATTAAAACACTGGCTTTCTATTGGTTATAAACAATATAGTATTGAACATCAGTGAGAAGTATTGGCAAATTCTGAAAGAGAGGATGTGACAGGTGGGCATGGTAAGACGGGTTTAACTGTATTTCATGGCTCTGTAACCAAACAAGACTTAAGGTTATAAAAATTATGCTTTTTTAAGAATTATGTCCGTGGAGACAGGGTTAATTAAAAATTCTCATTCTTTGTCTACAAATAACTCTTAATGCTTACTGAAAGCTTGCATATATATTAGAAGTTTGGTATGGAAACTAAAGGTCAACTTGGGGTCAATTTTAGGTCAAACTGACTGAGCTCATAGCAAGAGTTAAATGAAAGAAAAAATTATTTTTTTATTTTAAAATCCATAAACTTTAGATTTTTGAAATTATACCAAGCACTTTGTTATGAAACTTTTTTTTCTGTGGTTTAATAAGTAAAATTTTACATACCTTGTTATACTCTGCCATTATAGCAATCATCTGTGCACAAGTGGCAAAGATTTCAACAGCTCGGCCACGTGTTCTTATAGCATATTTCTGGTAGGAAATTAGATTTCATAAAAAAAAAAAAATTCCTTTCAATAAATTTTGAATAGAAAGTCAATAACGATATTAAAGTATAAATGCTTCTTCTCAATTAAGCATCAATCACAGAACTCATTTATAAAAAATCAGCCAAACAGGTCCACTTAATACATAATAGACTTACCTTCAAACTTCTTTTTGTGCACTGAAATAACAAATTACTAATGATGATGAAAAACTACGTGGTCTAAATTTAGATATTATAAAAAATACTTGAAATTTTTGATGAACAGATTATATCATTTTTAATGATCCAAAAAAAATTATTATTTTACTAAAGAAAAAGTTACAATTAACTTTTTTATCCACTAATAGTAATCAACACAATATCATTCTAAACTCTTTCAGCACATGCTCGGTCCCTGGGACCTACTGCCTAACCATTTTATGCTTGTTATAATTTTCATGCTATAACTTTTAATTTAGTAAGCAAATGTTAATGAAAGTAGGCAGTTTATCAGTAAACATTACAATGCTTTCATACTCAAGATATCTAATCTTTTATTAAGTCTAAAGGTTTGTAAAGCAATGTTTCTCCCATGGCTTTTTTTCTTTTCACATCTTGCATATCTATCATGCAAAGTAATTTTCATCTTAACATTAAAAATACTTTTATGCATCACAAAATTTTCTAATTACAAATGCAAAATCTTTATAATGCCCAAATAGTTATCAAACATTTCTTAAGAAAAAAACTTCATATTTTTTTCTGTTATTTTCAGTAATTAATCTCTGTACGGTTTTGGTAAATTTGACCGATCTCGCAACCACCATAAAAAATTAGGAAATAAATATAAATTATGCCTCTTTCATTCAAGAATGAACACAAATTATAACATGAAAACATAAATGTTTAGACAAAGTAGCTTAAATCTCATAACATTATACATTTATATATATATATTTATTATTTTTACTATACCGACTTTTCACATGTGCCTGGCTAACAATACAGAAGTTACAATGACGTGGCTCACATGCACTCATGTTACTGTATCAAATAACATAAAGGTGACCTGTGGTCTGTTCAAAGTAACTTGTCTTGGTTGTGTTTTAGTCAACTTGTATTTTGTAAAATACAGTCACATTTCAATTATTAAACAATATATATATGTATATAGATTATTGCTATTTTGAAATAAATTCTTAATAAAGTTATTTTTCCTAAAACATAGAACAGAAAATAAAGAAGTAAAGCAAACAATTAACTCTTCTAGTTATGACCTTTGTACTTGGTTGCTGCTTGGTGTAGGTTGCTAAGCCTTTAAAAATTTTGCATGTAAAAAGACATAAAAAAAAATATTTTTTAGGTTTTTATATACTTTTGAATACCTAAAAATCATAAATTACTACAGCAATACCATAGAATTCTACTACGATTTATCAAACACAGTAACTAAGCTGTATTTGGGTCTAAAAAAATATATGACATTTCGAGCAGTCTAAAGACACAAACTACCTCATTCAAATCTTGATTTAAAAGAAAGAAATGATGCTAGGTATGTTAGAAAGGCTTAGAAAACCACTAGGGGGACATTCTGAGCTTCCGATTGGTTATTCATGGAATATATAGAAGTGTTTATAAGGGAATGTTTCTAAAAATGGAAGGAAATGAGCGGGATGCCACAACGTTTGAGTTATTACACGAGAAATATCTTAGCAAATAGAAAAGATAAGACCTTATTTTATATTCTAGTTTATCAATATTGGTAATTTGAGTTTCTAATTTCTATGAAACTATAGCCTTAGTACCCCAAACAACACTCCCTCTTTCCCATGACAAAGCAGCCTGTTACACCTAGAAGAAATACTTTATAAGCAAAATAAACTTCTTTAAAAAATAATTATCAAATTAGTTTTTTAATGAAATGCACAAATTCAGAAAAATAAATTGAACTTACTTCATCTTCTCTAAATATCTTATACATCTCAGGAAGAATAACTGGAGCAACCTGGAGCATCTGGTTGTCTGTGACTTCTCTTGAAAATTCTAACACAAAGTAAAGATAAATGTATAAATTTCACCACTTTGACAATTGTATTTTTAAAGCACGAGTTTTTGACAGACAGTTTACAAAATATACACTATTTAGGTGAAGCCATGCTAATATGCAGTTTATGACATAGTTACCATTAACTCACAGGATTGTCACAAAAATTGGATCAAATTATTAGCTATTTTTTCTCACCAAAACTTTTCAAGCCTATTGTTTATCTTTACTGATAATATCTGAATTAATCAAAAGTATAGAGTGCCATATTTATAAAAGAAGCTAGCTATATTTTCATAATATTACATTGTATATATGAATAAACATCCTAAAGTACTTTTACATTTGAGCACATTGAACTGGATTCTTTCAACATATCTTCATGTTCTTCAAATCTGTTTACAGTTAGCATCCATTAGAGTAATAAGCTGTACACCTTCTTCCTCATTCAACCCTAATCCCAACTAGATTTGGGGTCAGCCCCTCAGGTATTTTGTATTAGCCATGAATTTTTACACTCAGGTAGCTGGCCCTGAAAGCAACCCTAAAAGGTGAGCTGGTTTGGTGATGCAGATTCAAACCAGTGACCTGTAGATTGTGAATCAAGTGTCCTAACTACCAGGCCATGTCAGGCTGGTAATAAACTGTATATAATGCTCACCCAATTGATCATTATTTGTTTTGCAAGTTTAAGTGACAAACTATAACTATAAGAAACAAGTTAGAACAAAATATTAGCATAATTTAATCACAAATTCACTTTGGTGACTTTTCCAACTGTCAATTCTTAATATGAATGTTTAAAAAAAACAAGCTAAATATATCTTGGGACAAATTGAAAATGAAATATAAATTCAAATGATAAATGCCATTAAGGTAGCTTACATCATTTTGCTTGGACCATATCATTCTGATGCTACATTTGTTGCTGAAAACAACTGAAAAAGTTAATATATGTTTATTTGGTATTCTTGGACAAACCAAGAACACTGTTGCCTGATTGATATCACAAAGTATTTCAAGAACAGTGTAGGGACTTGTTGTAGATGAAATGAAACAGAGAGGATTATTTGTGAAGTTAAACAAAAAGTGATACTTTATTAAGATGAAGCAAGAAAATAAAAACAATAAATCTGGTGTTATGAAACTGCATTGTGGTATGAAATGAACAAGAAACTGGCTACAGTTAAAGAAAATCACAAACTATATTGTATTAAAATAGAAGTAAATGAAAGAGCTGTATTTATTTAAATAAGATGTAACTCAACTTTATTCAGAAAAAAGCTGAAAGCTATTGGTGACAGTTGTCTCAGAATAAAGAAACTTTCATACACCGTACTATGATCTGAAACAAGAAACCTACCTGTTAACACCCTCATAGCACCATGGACTGCATTGCTATCTCCGCTGGTCAGAGCTTCCATTAAAAGGTCAAATAACTGAGGCCATGCCTCTGGCCAGTCCCAATGTGCTACAGCAGAAATAGCATAAGCCACACTTGAACGTACTTTGCTAATGGGTTCTCGAAGACCATGAGGTAAAATTTGACGAATGGCAGCTTTAACCTAGAAAAACAATTACAGAAACAATTCTTCTTAATCAATTTACTTGAGCAGATAGTGTTAACCTCACTGAAAATAATACATTTTTAAGCTATTTATATATATAGAATAATATATTTATAACCCTCAATTCTTTTACATTTTTAGGTACAGAAATAATTAATAGTCTTTCTCAGGTTAACATTTTCCTTCCTGAAAATGTATTTCAGATAAGATACTTCTTGAAAACATTCCCCTTGAGCACTTTGTGTAAACCAAAAGTTCATTCCTGACTAGGCAAATAGACAAACCAGAAGAGTAGAGGTAGGGTGGGTGTCAGAATTTTAAATATATACAATTCTCTTTCTTTTTTGCCAATTGTCAAAATAAAAGGCTTTTACTTATATCTCTTAATAGTATAAATATATACTATGTTGTTGCTGGGCTTAAGATTCTTCTACAGTAGGTGTCTGTAACTCGTTAGCGATAAATAAACCACATACACTTCACTTGTTTTCAAAATAATATAAATATATATACACAGCATGGTCACAAGTAAATAGACGCCACCTGAGGAGAGGCAAGTATCAATCTGAAGTACATTTTCAAGTAAGGAAAATATTAACTTTAAGCTATGTTACTCACCTCTTCACAGAATAAGAAGTTCAAACTGTATATTGAGAAGATGATGGAAGAAAAAGTAGAGAAAAAAATCAAAAAGATAAGCTTTCTGAGAATATAGCAAAAGAAAGGGAAAACTCATGGAGTATGTTTCCCATTAGGCAAATGAGGATGATTTAACCCAGGTTTGATATACGACACTGAAATATCCCTGTTGACAGAAGATGACACCTACCAAGAGAATAAAGGGTGAAGTGACTAGAAAAAGAAAATGTTAACAACTACAGACCATGTGTTACCACCATGAAATTGCTGAAACTGAATAATCAATAATTTTGAAAAATTCCATGTTAGTAGAGAAGGTAGGAAGCCCATGATATGCCCGCATGTTACACACACACACAAAAAAAAAACAGGTAAAATGTTAACTTTCCTCTAAATCTCACCTCCTCTGTGGTCTCTGGTGGTCGAAATTTTTCTGACTGGGAGGACCAATGAGCTTCAACATACTGTTTCAGAAGCACAGAAGCTAATTGTCTGATGGCTAACTGTCCATTTGGCTCAATGGTTAGTTCTGCCAGATGCAGCCCAAATTCTACAAGAAATTTAAAAATATTATAATGTATGAGTGTTTCTGATTTAAATATTTTTTTATTTCTATATAACACACAATTCATAATATCTTGAAGACAATGTAGACCTATAAGGGCTGTGGAATATTTTGAAATAAAAAATCTTGTCTAAGGGACAAAATTCTACTTCTTAAAATTCAACTTGCCTCACTCAACAAAAAAAACTTTTAGGATCTTGATTTTATTTAACAGCAGGAGCAAAGCCAGACTTCCAGAACAGGTGTCTACAGGTAGAAGGTTCTGAAAATATCAAACTCATTCACAATGTAAAAAAAACTGTTTAATAAAGGTAATATTTATTTAGAGATTAATGTATACATCCAACTTGAAGCATTGAATAATAATGATTGTATTATTTTAATTTAGAAACTTTTTTCTTCAAAATCTAAGAAAACCATTTTATTTTTTTCAATTTGAATCAATAAAATAATCTGTCTTCATTCAAAACAATAATACCATTTTCTAAATTCACTGTTTTTATTTTTGAATTTACATTTTTAATACAAGTACATCCAACTGAACTCAAAGCTTTTCCAAACAGTTTAGGCTTTTCATTCTCTGATTTTTATCAGCTTTTCAATTCTGGTTAGATCTTGACTCAAACTTTTCTGAAGATTTTATGCATAACTGATTTGTTAAAGACATTTTGAGCAAATGAAGAATACCATTATGGATAACAATACATAAATTTGATTTCATTCCATGCTTAAAATGCAATTATATCTGTAAATCAATCAGTAAAGACAATCAAAAATGATACTGCTTTAAGGTAATTAATGAATACCTCCCATGACAAGCAATTCAATCAAAAATAAAGCAATCCATGTGCCAAAAAACACCACCTTTCCCAATCATCATTAACAATCTTTCATAATTCTCTAATAATAATTAATTTAATTAAGCCTGTCAATACAATATACAGTCAACTTTTTTATGCTTTGACATAAACTTTCAATAACAACCAATGCATGTAATTGATACAAGTGGAAAAAATATTTAAAGTGTAGGAATGGGTGCACCAAAAAGTGAGGAAACAAGGTAGGAATGGTCATACTGTGTAATAAAACTTCCTCTGTACAACCTCACAAGTGGGCATGCCCAACATCTGGTCCATGCCTACTTCGTTTATTCTTTCTATCCTGCAAACAGTAAGTGAACTAAATTTATCAAACTTAGTTATGCTTATCATACAATGACTAGAGGTTTCTATGAATCAAATTATTTGGAGACAATATATCTACCATATAGTCTATTTATAGGACACCAGAAAAATCAAATATTCATGTGGACCCATAACTTGTATGTTTATTTTTCTTTACAACTTGTCTCTCCTTTTTCAATTGCATGAGAAGGCAACTTGATTTGATTTACAATATATATTATAAATTCCTTGCAACAGAGCATAGCTTGTCTTCTAGCCTAGATAGTGAAGCTTCTCTCAAGGCTTTTCCTACATTTGCATACCCAATACTACTCTCAGTTTCCAGATCTTGTCACACACTGCTGTGGCTCGAGAAGACCACACTCCACCGTTTTATTTGACCACACCAACTTAATATATGGGGTGAGCAAGTGGACATATACATATTTTAAAATGTCATCCCTGTTAAAGGAATTACCTGATGTACATCAAATAGCTCCTTTTGATGATGTTTAGTATAGGAAAATGTTAGCACTAGCACGTGGTCCCTATGCTATTGTTCTATTTGGTGCACTTATAACTATGGTAAGACTGTTTGTTACACAGCTAGATGCATTCAACAATGTCAGTCAGTCAATGAGGTTGAGATATTTGTGGTTTTGTAAATTTTTTTTATCTGCTCTGCTGACTTTCTCAAGTGGTTGTATGTCTTTTATCTTTGTATGTGGTTTGTTTATCACTTAGGATTTCTCTGAAATACTTTTGAAGATTTATTATTTGGTTGTATAAAGAGTAAATAGTTTGCACTGCATGTATTGTATATGCACCCCATTCCTAACACAGTACTACTGTACTTATGACAGATAATACTCTCAGTGGGGTGATCAGATCAAACATGCTAATTGGCTTCTGCCTATATATTATACATGTTGAGTTGGATGACTATGGATAAATGTGTAGTGTCTTGGTGATTTGATTGGCTTATGTCAAAAGTTTGGAAAACAAGTGTGATGATAGTTTGTTGTTTTTTGTGCCTTTGATATACTGAGCTTTTGCTCCTGAGTAAAATAAAAAACTAAATCGTAACTTGGAAGAGACAAAGTTTAAAGGCACTTCGCCCATTCATGTAACAATAAAAAATATTCTGGTATTGACACATTGATAAAGTGAAATAAAATGCATTAGCAACTAAAATTGGTCAAATAGTGGAATTTAATAATCAATTAATTGTCAAGCTCATTAATTGATTACATTCAACTAATCACTTATTCTTGCAAGACTTGGACAGTTAGGATAATAAAAAAAAATTAATAATCGGAAGTAAACATAGTCTGAAAATGTATTTCTGATAGATACTCACCTTTACACACACAGAATAGCTTCATCCCTCATGCATCTTCCTATGAGATTTGCATGCCAATAGTCTTGAGCTAATTTCCACCTACAATTCACACGCACTGATGCATGATGAAATCATCATGTGACAATAGCCCTACACCAATAGGAGGGCAACACAACCTCCATGCACAGTAACTCCCCTTCAGCACTTCATTCTTAGATGAGGCAAGAAAGTACATTGGAAGTATGGGAATCATGTGAAGAGGTATCTATCAGAAAATGTTAACTTCCAAGATGATACCTCACTCCACACACAGAATAGCTAGAATCCCACGTTGAATTTGTGGAGGGATCAGTGCAAAATTAAATCTAGATAAGCCCCCCTCAGAAAGTGCCAAAAGGAAAGCCCATGCAATGTAAAACCCAATGACAGAGGGTCCATACAGGTACAACCATGAGAGACCACATCTTGTCTCAACAAGAGTATACTCTTTGCCCTGAAGAGAGACAGACAGGCCTCCATGAGGCCAACAAGAAGAGCAAAGGCCCTGACATTGGAAAATAGGAGGAAAGGAAGTAGAAGAAGGCCAGAAAGCTGTGAAGGAAAGTGGAGATGGATTCAGCAGATCTAGGAACAAGAACAGAATGGCAAGATTGACAAAGATGAGAAACCATAGTAGACAATCAGGATTGATGTTAGGCCACCTCAGTCTGGGTCTCCATGAGTCAGGAACATCTGATATCTGTCTCGTGACAATCTCCAGCTACATCAAAAGCCCTCTATCTTGGTACTGTATATAAGCACCTTCTTCCAATAATATTATCACTTTTTTGAGACTGACCCAATTCGCAGTCTCTAACATCGGCTCTTAGCGTGGAGGAAGAGCAGGAGAGTGTGAAATAAGTACTATTGGAAATACATTTTCGATTTAAGAAAATGTTAACTTCCAAAATGCGTATCTCCACTCAAACTATAGCTAGAATCCCACACTGATAAGGTGGAAGAGCTGGTGAGGGCATTATCCATACAGAATGCATCTGCACTGAACTTGGGTGTGCCAATGGGAGATTAGCACCCTAGTGGGGAAACCACACTACATCCAGAACAGGTATATATATATATATATATATATATTTATTTATTTATTTATTTATTGTGGATCCCAACTTGTAGCTATAGTGATGCGTTCAGAGCTGCCAGGATTACGAAATGGACAAACTCTCTCCTCAACCTGAAGAAGCCTGAAAACAACACCCCAAACTCAGAATGACAGGATCCTGTATGACATACTCAACCTGAGGAAACAGAACTCATCCAGTCTGGAATTATGAACATTCATCCTCACTCCCCAACCATGTGGGCAAGGTAAATTTCACTTGCCCTCAGAATTATGGGAAGGATATGGAACAAACTGTGCTCAACCAAGGACCCAGGATGGAACCACTCTACATTCAGAATTATGAGGAGACAATGGACTTTTTTTTCATGAACAATGTACTGAATCAATATTAATAAAAAAGAGCCATGCTCAACCCAATCAGATAGCCAAGCACCAAATCTGAACCACTATTATGAGTAGGTTCCCACCTAGGCTGCTGCCTCTCCTACCAGCAACTGGAAAAAATCCAGAGACCAGGATAGGAGAGCTCCCAACTTTGCCTTCTTCTCAATGAGTGAAGAAAGTCACTCGAACACTATAGAGGATAATACCACCCAGCCTGCCTCTAAATGCAGGACACAAAATTCACAGTGGCCAAGTCAGCAATTGTTACCATATTTTTCAAATTGGTCATGGTGCCCTCAGAAAATCACTAAAATCCATGGCCACGATGGCCACCCTTCAGTATCCGTTTGGCTGTTGTGCCATCACAATATAAATGTGTATTGCATACCACAGTAAAGGGAAAACCACTGTGGATCACAAACACCAAACTTACAACCTACAGAAACTACCTTGTTATGAATAAGATATCACATAAAATGCAGGTAGTATAGGAAGTGAAGTTTTCGCTTTGATTGGCAGTAAAACATTTGTGCAGTTTATTGAGTCCTACCATACTGCAGGATCTTAGTAGTAGTAAGAAATTCCAATTGATGTTCAAACAACAAACCTGCAGAGCTTACACAAAGATTTACAGCAATAGCAGTACGTGATGATCCATGTCAGCAAGTACATACACTGGTAAGAGTGAAGTGCATGACTGCAAGTACTCCTTGCATTAAACATGTCAAAAAGGAACAAGTTAAGAGGGAGAATGCTGTGAAACTTTTTCTGTAGTGGCCAAGTGTCAGAAATTGGAACATTTTTTTTCATCGGTAAATACAGACTACATACTGATTTTTTTTTAAATGAATGGAAATAGGATACGTAAATTATTTGGCTCAATAAATTTTATGTGCAAATCCACCAAAGGCTTAGACCTACTACATTAGCTAGATATGGTTAATGTTACTAAATTACAAGTAGCAAGTTATGCAATGAAATGTGTAACAACATGTGACTCATAGGTTACTAGCCCATCAAAAATGATAGCAATTACTACCACCCCCACCCCATAGTATACCCTAACCTCATATTTAAGAGCTAACTGAAATAAATATTTTTTGCAAAATCAATCTTGACCAACAAAAGAGGCAGTAAAGTGCAGTCAAACATCTGTAAAATCCTTTGTGAGCCAATCAAAATTAAGTTCATGAAATTAATTAGTAGCATATTCAAAGAATAATTATTGGTAAAAAATCAATTAGATTAACAACTTCTAATATATAAAAAAGCCAGAACATTTTGGTAACACTGTGTTCCTACAATGGCTTTTATGTCATGTTGCTTAGCAAAAAAAGTATATCCTAACATTTTTGTTAGTCTATGTACTGAAAGTATAAAATTAAATGTTTAGACAACAAAACTGGAAAATTTTTTGTTGACTTCTTAATCTAGTCTCCATTGATTAAAGTGGTTTGTTTATTTATTGAAAATATTGGTGATATAACAGAAAATACCTTAATTCAGAAACAATTTAAGTTTAAAATTGAATCAATATTTTTACTTTAATGATACATTTTATGCACTTGGCTCTAGGCTAGGTGATCCCACACTACATCCTTACTTTAGGCTTATTATACCAACACCCACTACACTTACAAGGTTTCATGGCACCCCCCCCCTCCCTACTAAAATCATAATGGGCAGAGAGGAATCAAACTATTCTATCTAAATAAATGCATTTTGGCTTTTATGATCTTCCTATATGTTAGAGACCATGTGCTATGTTGTAGCGTAGGCCTAGTTTACTGTTTATCAGCACTAGCCTACGTTAGAAATTAAGCAAAAAAATAATAGTAGTAATATTGTTTGGAAATAGAATGTTGACCTTATGTCATGGCAATATGTCTTTCTATCTATCTGTCTGTCAAGATTTTCAAAGGGTTGCTGTTTGGAGACCGTGTAACTGGTTTTCGTCAAATAGTCAGACATGTTGGGGTTGAATTTTTAAGCTTCTCCTAGGGATTTTGTCTGATCATTCTCAAAGTTAGACAAGGTAATAAATGAATAAAGTGCATAAAAGTTGTATATAGTTCTTAAGTCAAAAAGCATTTGGGCTCAGGAGGGGACAAAAGCTAGAAATCTTATAAAGCACTTGTTCTCTTTATGTGCAAGTCTGATCTTTATAAAAGTTGGATAAAAGTGGATAGAGATGTATGAAATTTGTTCATGCCTAAAATTTGTATATAATTTTTAAGTCAAACATTATTTGGGGTCATCAGGAGGGGACAAAAACTAGGAATCTTATGAAGGTCACAGTGCATTTTAGATCAGCATGATAACTTTTTTAATCTTAAAGCTGATGTACTGTTATTTCACAAGTTTCATTAGTAATGGTTAATACTTACCTACCTGATAAACATAATCTAGAAGGATAGTCCAGCTTCCTAAGCTTCCAATGAGAAACATTAATGCCATATTTATTAAACTCATTTCTATGCTATTAACATGTACTGTGACCTTAGTACCCTCCTGTGAAATTCTTTTGGCCTTGGTGCTTTTGAAAATGAGAGAAAATCCAAGGCCATATGTCCTTGTCCTAAAAATCATGAATTTCCTGGCCAGTAGATGGTCTTATGGAACCCACCATTTCTACAAAGCCTGTTACAACCTAGATAAAATATATTGTGTCAGTGGTTGCTAGTGTGGAATGGGTTTGATAACAGCGCACCTGACTGGGTAACACTTGCCTGTGAAAAATAGGTAAGGGACCCTAGAGAGGAAAGAAGAGATGAAATTAGTAGAGTGAGATAACAATGAACAGGACAGAGGAGATCAGGGTTGGAACAATCGTACAGGGAAAAAAGGGAAGGTAGGTTGATTGATGAAAATAACAGACTGCTCTCTCAAGTATAACAATTTTGGGGAAGCAAGGAGTGGTCAAGGAATAATATTAACTTGTCCCTGTGGGAAAGGGCATGAGAGATGTAAAAGACAAAAATGTCAGAGCAATGACTCTTGCAAACAAGAAGAAAATATGTCTTTAAAGAAAGACAGTACAAGGAACAGGGGCCAATGTACATTTAAGAGCATGAAGAACTAAACAGATTCCAGTCTAAAGAGAATGAATGACTGAGAAAAAAAATGGAGAATTGCCAAGGGAGAGACAGAAGGTCATATACAAAACCATCCTATAATTGGCAATAGTAGAAGTGGAAAAAAAGTCAAAGAAAAGAATAGGCATACAAAAAGAAGTGGAACCAATCCAAACTCAGAACATTCACTGCCAGAGCTGTAAGCTAGATGTTAAGGGGAGTCAGAAAAGCAATGATAAATGGACTCCAAATCATGAGAGAATACCCACTGACAACATGAGAGGATGAAAGAGGAAATGCAAAATGGATCATGAAAAGAAAACCACAGAGACGAGTCAGAAGATGATGGCAAACTCATCAAGTAGCCAACATCTCGAGACCACTCCTCTGAAGAACAGACACTTGAGATGGAGCATGTGTTCAGATCTGCACCCAATCTGAACAGAGTGGCAACAGTTAACAGGTTCTCCTTGTAGATTTGATTGTTGTCAAGTGCAAAGCTACACAATGTACTACCTGCAATGTGCCCTATTTTAAAATAACATTTCGGGTCTAAATTTTACTCCTTGTAAGTCACAACCCAAGTGGCCTTTTGTTTAATACTAGAACTCCTCAGTTGGGCTGGATTGTTTGTTGTTAAACAAAAGGCTACATAATGAGCTATCTGTGCTCTGCCTACTATGGGTATCAAAGCCCTATTTTTGGCATTATAAGTACTCAGACTTACTAGTGAGCCATTGATGGCTCTGAACAGATAAAAGTGTAGACAAGGTGGGTGAAAAGGAATGTTCAGGAGTTTTTAGAATTGAGTGAGTTATCACAACAGTAGTAGGTCCAAAAAAGGATGAAGACACATAAGAGAAGGAAGAAGATTTCTGGATATGCTACACTGAACAGCCAGAGTCCACTAACGAGGATGCAAATGGGCATGACTAAGAGGAAGAAGAGATTCAAGAGAAAAGCGAGTCACCAAAAACACACAAGTTCTCTCATGCAGCCAAATAAGAAGAAACAAGAGCCTTGGAATCAAAAGCTCCATGTCTCAAACATGTAAAGGAGGAGGTGAGCCTACTCCATATACAAACTAAGAAAGACTCACAAGTCAATGAAATACTGGGTGGGGTCAAAACTGAATTCTCAAAGCATAAGGGAGGTCACAACAGTAGATGTCACATTGGCTGGAGCAGGTAGAGGCCAAATGGGCCCTTGTTGTCCGTGTGTTATAGTGACATTATAGTACTTAACTTAATAAGATATATTTAAATTTTTCAAGAAACACTTTGATATGAACATGTGGATTTTCAAGATTTTTTGCAATGTTAGGCAATTTTTGGTGCTTTATTTCCTCAATCATTCAACAAGAAGTTTCAACTGTTTCACTTTCAATTTCAAAATTTCAAGCGTTTGTAGTTGTACTACTACAATACTACAACTAGGAAGTGCTAATCATCCATTTTTTTCTTAGAAATCACACCTTGCTCAAAATTTCCTTCTGTCGACTACTTTAGAAAACAAAATACTTTAAAGGATAACTCAGCTTAGGACCCTAGAAGAGATCATTCATTCTCGTTAAATGTAACAGTTGAGTTTGTAAAACATTTAGCTCTCGTCAGGCATTACAAATACAATACAATTTATAGTATAACATCACGCGTATTAGTATTACCAATGCTGAGGCCAGACAGTAGACTGACTGGTAAATTTACTCATTAAAGTTAAAATTACTTACCATCAGTTACTTCTAAAACTTTCAACTGTTCCTCGGCACTCACTCTAACATCATGAGCTGGTGATAAAATACCCGATAGGGTTTCAAACAACGCTTCTTTCAGAGTCTTGTTCACGGTGTCACTCACAGAAGCTGCCATGTTTTATTAAAATATTGGCGCGATGACAGGAAAACGAAAAAATATATATATTTATATAAAATTTTCAGATTTTTTTTCCATTCAACGTCTCATTTAGTGATATCTTTTTTAATTAATATATTTGCATAATACATAATGAATTGGTTTAAATGTGTTTGATATAATTTCAAAATACTATCCAATAAGCATTTGCCACTTTAGACAGTCCTTTGGGTATGCGGTCTTAAGATTGTGTGCCAGGTTGCCGGTATCAACGTAAAATTTGTGATTTTGTAGCAGTAGTAGATCTGGCAATTGGATTTTAAAAGATCCACGAACATCAAACAATAAAGAATATAATGTCTTTTAAGAAGCGTATATTGTTTTGCATAACCATTTCATTCTTACAGTTTCACACGTTTGCGCAAGATATCATTAATCTCAACCTAGTAAATAACAAAGTAGAAAGAAACATAGATATATCATCGCAGATAGTCGAAATAACCACTGAAGTTACTATAGAGAATACTGGAAAAGAACCAGCATTTTATACGCTTTTTTCACTTGAACCAGAAGCAAGACTTCACTTGGCATATATTGGAGCAGTGGTAAGTTTTTGATAAGCACTCATTATTATTAAATTTGGCAAATATGTATTTATATTTATAAATTAATAATAATAAATCATTAAGTTGATTAAGCCTATACAAAAGTATTACTATTCGTAATAATTGTAATGGTACTATACTGTACAGTACGCTGTACTAACATAAAAATAGCATAAACTATAATTCAGGGTTACCTTGTTTAAAAAAAATACAATATAGTCTGACAGGCACTTGTACTAAGTTGTAGTTAAACTGAAAATAATTGAAATAGAAATACAGTAAGTGAATTCTGATATCTTAGTCTTAATTTTTATCAAGTAATTACTGTATTACCAATACTAATTGTAATGAGTAAAGCCTGCAAGTTTCTATGCATGGCCAATGGCACTACCCTGATCCAGTGACTGGGTGAGTGTCATTAAACAGCAAATTTGCTCTGTAACTAATATATCACTTTGTAAGCTTAGGCTCTAAGTAATTGACTTTTTCTTTGCTCTGCAAGAGTGACTGCTTTTTGCACAGGAAAAGTTTTCACTCAGTTTAAAGTCCTCCCGAGTCTTTCATGGTGACTTCTATGAATTTTCTTATTGTCGTAGTTGATTTTGTTCAATGGAAAATGCCTTTTTGTTCATATCCAAACCTTAGCTACCATCCTCCAGTATACTTATAATATTGGTTTGGCTTAGTATAGTAATACCTTGACATCTTGGTATTTGTGTCCAAACATCATATTGGGGGCTGGAATGCTAACTTCAAGGACACTTTTGCTGTCTTCCTCATTGATGTGATGTATTCTATTATTTATTGCTGTTTTTTATTTATTTTGTTGTTGTTGTTTTTACTTGTGTCTAGGTGTTGGATGTTTGTATTGTGGCTGCAATATTTAGTTAGTTTGTTTAAAAATATTATTATTTTATCTTTGGTTTCCATATCTATAGGAAATGTTAGAATCATCAGTCCCAAACACTGCTAACAGTAACAGCAAGCATATCCAATTCATGAATCAAGGCATTAAAAGGCTCATCGGTTTTTAATTTATGACACTGCTTACTCCTAGTTAGAATGGTATATTAATTTAGGTGTGTTTTTTACAGTTAAAATTTTTAGCTCTATCTGTATACTTAGCTTGCTTTGGTGGGAATTTATAGTTATCACTTCACTAATAGTTACTTTAAAAATCACCACTACAGTGGCTTTGTAGCTGTTCTCTACTCTGGTGTTGAACACACCCAGTGATAGATAATGTAAGCTTTGGCAAGATATAACATGGGTTTAAATGCACTTATCACAACCAAGGCATAAGAATTTTAACAAGTTTAAGTTTGAAGGACACAACTTTTATTACAAAACCAGTGTTTTCTGACTATTCCATTAGCAGCCCATTTCAATCAAGTAATATTTATCTGAAAAATGTGATATATATATACACACACACACACACACACAGACATTGTTTTACTCAATTTCTGTGCATTGTCTTGTTAAGATTGTAATCTTGCTAATGCAATATTTAAGCAATCATTGCAGATAAGAAAAAAATAGAAAAATTGTGTACAAATAATATTTTCAATAACTTTTATCATTACATTTTTTGTTTGCATTTGTTAAAAATACCTTTCTCAGAAAAATGTCTCATACATAAGTACAATTAATATGATCGGACTTCGTTGGCATTATGCAGTATTGAACCATAAGTTGCAAGTAAAGTGAGTGTATTCATTTATGACCTTAACTGTCTGAATAGTCAGTTTTAAAAAAAATGTTCTTGGTTGTTATTCTCATTTTTTCTAACTAAATATATCTTAATCTTGGAAAACTACAGCTAAACGGCCCTTTTTACTTGTTTCAAATTTTAATCTATTGTGGAAAGAAGTGATGATGAAGAACCTTTTTTTCATAATTAAAAAGATTGTCAAATTTTATTCTTCTGTAAGTGGCAAAGAATGCATTTTTAAAGATATGTTCTAATAAACTTTAATGCAGTTGTTCTGCATGTAGTTAGTTATATACTTTTTGATGTGGGAAAATGTAAACTTTACACTAGTAGACATTTCCAGAATGAACATCATCTGATCTTGTTGTCTTCTCTTAGTGCCTGCCGTATTAGACAGCAGTACACATATATTCTAGGTAATGGGGGAGAAAAGCTTCTGTACTGTTGAGATTGTGGCTGCACCAATAGACTGGGTTCAAAACTGGATATTCCTTTTTACAAATTCCCAACTGACTCAAAAAAAAAATCAATATGGATTGCTACAGTTATAGTTATGAGACAAAACTGGCAACCTTCACAGTATTCCTGTGTCTGAAGTGCACATTTTGTGAAAGTTATCAGAGTAAATCTGCTATGTAATACTTGAATAAATATAAACTTTGTCATTAAATGTGAACTCTGAGCAGTAATAAAAATTTTTAAGCCTACTTATAGGTTAGTTAGAAAGCCAGATAAATTTTAGTAGTTTTGTAACATTATATTCTAGTGCATGATATCATTTTTTTTTACGTTTTAAAATGCATATTTGAAAGCTACATTAATAATTTTTTGGACATTGATATAGTGAAAAAAAAATACAGAACCACACACCTGGGTGCAAAAAACCTCAAGGCTAAAGTAATTTGTATGTACATTTTTTCACATGTCCCTCAGGAGCCAAGGGGTGTCATTACACTACAATTTGTTTAATATTAAAAGTTAGTTCAATCCAGAAACTCCCAAAGAGGGTGGTTTTGAGCATATCTTTTCCAGAAAAGTTTTCATTTGTTAAGTGATAACTTTTTAAGTGAAATACAGCATCCTCAAGTCTTCATACTAGCTAGTACTAAGGTCTACCTGCTGAGAGTAAATTCAGTATATATCAATAAAACCACATTTTCAGCATCATTAATTAAGCAATTATTCTTCTGCTATCACCTTTTTATGTTTAGCTTTTGGTAGGGAAGGTCGAAGCATCATGATAGTCAGCAGTAAGATGAGCAGACAGGAACACTTTGAAAGCAGCTACAGACATAATATTGTTCTTGGCCTCCTGGACAATATCTACTAAGGTGGTTATAAATGATTCCTGAATACCTCTGCGTGTCATTTGGAGACTTCCATGCCTCTTGTGCTTGGCCGTTAAGCTAATGATGGACTGACAGATTTCAGTCACCTTATTGCTTCAAATCACTTTCCACAGCTTCAATGCTAAAAGAGTGCAGGAAATACCTTCTTTTTAGCCAATAAAAATATTTAAAAAATTTTTGTTCAAATTAAGAAAAACTAGATTGGGTAGTGTGTGTTTTTGTTTTTTTTCAACAGAAATGACACCCATTAGCTTGTGAGGAACCTATAAACAAAAATAACTAAAATGAAAAACTTTGAAACTTACAAATCTAGATAAGAAAACTTAACTACAAAAAAAAGAGAATAAATAAATTTCTCATGATCACTCTTTGAAGAATGCACATGGACTTCTATCACGTGATAGTTTATTTACCCCAAGCTCTCACCATATAATTTATTGCTTTATGCTAATTAGACATGGTTTAAAGAATAGTAAAACTATAAAATTAAATGACAGTACTATTCCCAACATACGTATAGTATCACTAGTACTTCAAGACGGTGAGAAGTTACTACTTGAAAAAAAAGGGGGGGAGGGAGATACATATACACAAGTCCAAATACTAAGAAATCCTTTAACTCTTTTAGCACAGGCTCAGTCCCTGGGACTGACTTCATAACTATTTTTTGTTTGTTATAGTTTTCATGCTATAACTTTTAAATTAGTAGGCGTGTGTTAAACGAAATTTGGCAGATTATTAGTAAACATTGCAATGCTTTCATATGCAAAATAGCAAATTTTTTTTATTAAGTCCTCAGATTTGTAAAGCAATATTTTTCTCATGCCTTTTTTTTTTCTTTTCCAACTTTGCCTATCAAACATGCAAAGTAATTTTCATTTTAAGATTAAAAATACTTTTGTGCATCAGAAAAGTTTCAAATTTCATGTGCAAAATCTTGATAATATCCAGATAGTTATGAAATGTTTCTTAAGAAAACTATTTTATTTGTTATTTTCAGTAACAAGTCTCTTTACTGGTTTTATAAATTTGACCGATCTCGTAACTGTGTTAAAAAATTAGGAAATGAATATAAATTCCAAAACATACATACCTCTGCAGACACTTATAGCTATTTCTCAATCTCCATCTTTGCCATCAAACATTGTGTTTGCTTGCTCTAGTCTTTTATACTCCACTCGACTGTCCTCTATGCAGGTACTGTATATAAGCACTGTATGCAGACAATATAAGCACTTTTTCTCGACAAATCGTGAGTGCTAAGTCATATTTTGTGGTTAACTTTTTCATTTGTCAAGTTTCACAGTAGTCTAGTGTTCTTTTTGTTTTTCTCCGTTCATTCCTCCTTTGTTGTCTGGTGGTAGTCAGCAGTTGGGGGGGGGGGGTCTACTCTTGGTAGACACTTTTCGTGACTTGATTTGGGGTGAGATGGAGTCCTTCATGAGGGCTGGGAGTTTCTCCCTGGGAGGTTCTGAGTTGGCTATTCATCATGAACCTGTATATTCTGGGGAGAATTTAGACACACTGTTTCCTGCTCCTTCTTTCACTTGGGCTGCCTCTACTGAGGGCTCATCTGATCAGCCACCTTCTGCACCCTTTCTGTAGTTAGTTACCTGAGTTTGTGGAGTTTTGGGTATTAACCCTGTTCCTTTTGAGTCTACCCCTGTCTCAGAGGGGGGAGTCAATGCTCTCCTCATCAATTTGATGATGAACTGGGACCCTTACTGATTCGCACTATGACTCGTTTGCCCTCTTAAGGCCTTGCTTTTGTGTTGTGGTTGGTCTGTTGCTGGGACTTGTTTTTTGAATCAAGATGCTTTGTTGGAGGGTATTCATTTGCTTTTGACTTACGGGAAGTGCCTTTTCTTTGGTGTTACTTGTTTGCTGGAGTTCTGGAAACTTTAGAAGTTATGAATTGATATGGCATGTTTGTATTC